AATAAAATAAAATAAAATAAAATAAAATAAAATAAAATAAAATAAAAATCCAACAGAAGTGACACTGTGTGACTCCGGAGGCTAGGTCATAAAATACAATACAGGTTTCACCTTGCTTATAGGAAGCCTAGCATTTGGAGCCCCCAGCCACCTTGTAAGAAGGCTGACTACCCTGAAACAGCCATGCTACGAGGAAGCTCAGGCCACATGAGGAAAGTATGTTTGGGTATTCTGGCTGATTGCCCCCAGCTGAGGTACCAGCTTCAATCGCCAGGAAATATGCCTCCATATGAGGAAATATGCCTCCAGATTATTCCAGTCCCCACCCATTGAAACACTTCTAGGTATTGAGTCTTCCCACCTGAGGGTCCCAGATATCATGGGGCAGAGGCAAGCCATCTCTGCTGTGCCTTGTCTGCATTATGACTGAGGAGGTAACTTTACATTTTGTTAAGGGCAAAACTATGTTTGATCCTCACAATGATACAGTTAGGCGGGTTGGGTTGGCATTATTACCACCGTCATTTTACACATTAAAATAACAATAGGGGTTTGAGCGAGCTTACCTTCTTTGAGATTATATATAGTTAAGATATGGCATGCTGATACTGATCTTTGTACTCTACAAAGTTTATGCTTCCTCTATATTCTCCCATCTGGATCCTGTGGGGCTTTAGAATGGCCTAGGGAAATCAAATAAGATATATCCAGATTTAAAGACAAAGTCAGAAAATGTTGAGTGAATAGAGGCTAACAAGAATCAATATTAAATGGACGAGATCAATCATCCTGTGAAGAAATAACTATGTAAGAGATGATCTACAGGTTGTTGCTGATAAAGAAGGCTATAATTTAAAATAGAACCAAGGAAAACAAATCTTAGAACTTTGAATGTTATGAGGAAGTGTTATAATGATATAATTTTTTAAGGGTCTGATTAGAAAATGAAATAGGACTGTTAAAGAATAAATAATGCTGCAAGTTGTGTTTTTGATAAAACTAAGGGTAAAAAGGGCCATGACTGGCTAATGGTGCAATTTTAGTCTGTTTAGAAGTATGTCCTTAGAGTAAAAAAGGGCACTTCAGACTAGTATAGCTTGATGACATAATCTCTTAGGACAGTCTTCATTTACTCTACTTTTGCCAAGCCACTTTTGATTTAAATTTAGTTCCTCAAGCAGACTTTTCCACTTGGAAGGGAAAGCACAAGGAAGCTAACAAACCTACCACACTCACTTGATAGGCTGCATTTTGCATTTTTCATTGTAAAGGAATATTAGTATTCTGATTAATCAAGCAGCCTCACACACAACGCCTTACCTTTAGACTAAGGATCAGTTCCTGGGCTCATAGTGACTCTATCGGTATGCAGACATTCAGCTTCAGAAGTCAGTAGGACAGCTTTCCATCTCTTTAATCATGGTGAATACTATAAGGAGGTCACTGGTGAATTTCCTCCTCATGGGAAGTAAAGAAATGTAGTTCACTCAATGCTTCTCATGACTTGGTGGCTTGGTTACTTTGGGGATTAAAATTGTACACCATCAGTAGGCCACAGTATCTTCCACTGTGTTTCTCACTCCTATTTCTCCATTCCTTATTCCGCACCCCTCCCACCCCCACCCCGGGCATATTCCCTTTCCTTTAAAATAAATGTACTTTTAGTAACAAATTGGGTGTCTTTAATTTCATTCTGTAATTGGGCCTCACAAAGGGAATTTAACTCTTATTTTCATGCATACTTTTAACAGATAATGTCTTAGAATATTCTATTCACGAAAGGCACGAAGTATTTAAAATGTACTCAATGATTTTCTTGAAAATAAAAATCATTTAAGTTTTGATGCTTCAGATGACTGGAATGCTGTGCCTTGTGCAGGCCCTTGCACACGACAAGTTTTCCACTTACATTTGCTGAATGAATCTGCAAAACGAAAAACACACTTAAAGAAAACGTTTTATTCCTCAATAATGGGGAAAAGCTTTTAGACTTCCATCTAGACCTACTTTAACAGGCCAGATCCTTTAATGAAACGGATACAAAAATCATTCTGATAATTTAGCTGTTCCTAAATCTATTTCTATCAAATTCGCTCAGATGTTTCCCCCTGGAGGTTTCAAGTCTTATTTTAACGACAGAGACACTCGCTGTAATGGAAAAAACACAAGCAGTATGGGCTTCCCCTTCTTTCTCCCTCTAGGATTTCAACTTCTCGAACACAACCCATGCTCTTCTAGTAAATCCCACATTACGGCACAGGTTTAGCACAGAGAAGAGAACGAAGTAGGAAATCGGAGCCATGGAAACGGCAGAGCGGAGGAAACGTGCACGCGCGAGGGTGGGCACGAAAGGAAAGAACCCTCCCCAGAAGACTGCGCGAGGGCGCTCCTAGGATTACGTCACGCACCCCGGTGACGTCACGGCCGTGACACGCGGGTGACGCGGGTGACGCCGTTGCCGCGGCGACTTCTAGTCGTCTCCGCCCCCTTCCCCCGCCCCCCGCCTAGCATCCTTCCCCCAATCCCCTCAGGCTCGGCTGCGCCGGGGGCCGCGGGCCGGTTCCTGAGGTGGCCCAGGGGCCCTCCCGCCGCCGGCGCCGCCCGGGCCGTCCCTCCCCGCCGCCCCCCGCCCTCCGCCTCCGCCTCCCCCCGCCCTCCGCCTCTCTTCCCCCTCCCCGCCCAGCAGCGGTCGCTCGGGCCCCGGCTCTCGGTTATAAGATGGCGGCGCTGAGCGGCGGCGGCGGCGGCGGTGGCGCGGAGCAGGGCCAGGCTCTGTTCAACGGGGACATGGAGCCCGAAGCCGGCGCCGCGGCCTCTTCGGCTGCGGACCCTGCCATTCCCGAGGAGGTGAGTGCCGGCGCACCCTACACCCCTCAGGTCTCTGGGCTCGGCTGGCTGGTGTTTTTGGGGGGAAAGAGGTGACGGTGGGGGCTCTGGTGCCCTGAGCCACCTTCTCCTTTGGGTTCTGCGGGGTGGGAGATGGGCATCCCCGCCGTGTCCCTCTCCGTCATGCAGCTCCTCGCTACGTAAACACACACAGTGGCCCGGGGGGGGTTTCCCTGGCTCGCACCCCAGTCTGGGGGATTCAGGCGGCATTGGCTGAGCGGGAGGCTATCAGTAGGGGGCGAGACTCAGGGTTGGTCTGAGAAGGTCACGGCTGGCTGAAGGTAGCCAGGCTCTCATCTCTTCGATGTTTTCGTTATTTTGGGGTGGGGAGGCGGCGAAGGGGGGCGGCATCCAGGTGGATAGATGTAGGTTAGTAGCCGGGGCCGGGACCCCAGCCTGAGTTACCATTGTAATTACTACATGGTCGGGGGTGGGGGTGGTGATGGGGCGCATCGTTCCCCTCCACTCTCCCTGATGTCTCCCTTTTCAGGCCTCTGCCCTCGCCTCCACTTTTCTACTTGTTTGGGGATTTCTTTTCACCTGTTTTACCCAGCAGATGGTTTTGATTTAATTTTTACTTTTTTCAATCTTAAATCCCACTGTTTCAGCTCTCCTCTCCATCCCGGTGTCAGGGCCCCAGTTCTTATGTTTGCCTGTGCTCCGTCGCTGAGTGGTAACCCTTCCACCCCCCCCCCCCCCATCCCATTCCCATCGGCCGCTCCGCTCTTTTGCCGGTTGTCGGACCTGCCAGCCTTGTAGCCTCAGTATCTACTTAAGACTATTTTTGCACTTCTCTTACCCTAGTTCTCTTCAGGCCCTCTGGATCATTCTACTGCTCCCTAGCATTGTTATCTATTATCTTCATAAATCCGTTTGGACGCTTTGGAGCTCCTTCCCTTCTGAATCCTGAAGCTGTCAGGATTCCATCAGGTTTCACTTGAACTACTGGCACTTTTTGGCTAGTCTTCCATTGTGCGTCCATACCTCTTTATTTTTTCCTACCCGTTTTTAAATAGATTTGATTGATTTCTTTCTGTTGTCCTCCTTTTTGTCCCAGTTTTTTCCTTTCATTTTTTCCTCCTTGGCTTCTGCTTCTCTCAGCCTGTTTTTTGTTTTTGTTTTTGTTTTTTTGTTTTTTTTGCATTATTTAGCCTATTATCACCTTGTCAAATTATTTACATTTGGTTTTCAAGGAAAACTTACTCCATTTACTATCTGGTATTGTATTATATAGAGTAATACACTTTATTATACTTTGCAGATAATGAGGTATTAGTATAATAACTGTGCTTTGTAGTTATTGATTAGATTATGTGATTTAATTCTGTTGACTTTGCTCAAAGTTCTCTTTCCTTCCGTACTGTTTACATTTTGTTTCCCAATTCTCATAATGTCTCTTTGTTCTATGTATGCAATGCTTCTTTCCTGCTTCATCATCTTTACTTTGGAAATTCACCCCATATGCTTTCTCTAGTATTAGTTTGTTCACAATTATAATTGTTTTTCAGTCTCCTCTACCACCTCCATCTATGCCCATGATGTGTTCTATGCCATCATCTGGTCTAAAGTTCTCATATGTTTTCTTCTTCATTAAATGGCACCACTTTCCACTTAATTTTTACTTTGCATTTTTGCTCAGATCAGTTTCCTCTAACATCTGTTCATTTTCACCAACTTCTTGTATTCTAAGGATAGCTCTTTTCCTTCTTCCATTTCCTAGTTTATTCTGATTTCCTTGTCCCCAGTTAACCATTCATTCGGCCTTGTTTCCTGACTTTTGGTTCTTAACTCTCTGAAGCTTCCTCTTGTCTTCCTTGCACCTCCACATTCCTTCTTATTTATAAACAGCTTTGTTCCGTTGACATGGAAATTTATTTTTAGGATACATTGTTTTTAATGGATAAATACTAGGGGTCACATCTGCTGTCTATTTTTTCCATGAATCGGATATGCCTTTGTCTTACCAGGCACAGGTGCCTCCAGGCTCCCTTTACTCTGTAGTGTATGTGTGGTTTTGTTGAATTCTAACTTTGAAGACTATTACAGAATGGAAGAATGGACAAATTATTGGGTATGGGTCATGAAATTGTCATTCTCTGACCATAACATTGTTTATACTGAGAACTTTAAGACTTAGTAGAACAGTTTGCAATGATATAGAGAAGTCTTTTGTTATGTATAATCTCCGCTGTCTAATTGGAAAGGGCCGGATTGTTTGAGCTCTACCCTCTGAAGATTCTGATTCTGTAGGTGAGAGCTAGCGCCATAAGTTTCTGTATTTGGCACACTTCCTGTGCCGTTCTCATGTGTTAATGATTGAGAATCACTAGGCTAATGAATTTAAGTTTAAATCGCCAATAATTAGAAAACGTATTGGTATCTCCTAAAACTACAAGGATACTCCTCTGACTCTCGTAACTAAATTTAATTAGTTAGAAGTGTTGTGTGCTGCGTCCTCCACTCAGGTTTTAATGTTTACTGATGAATAGTTTTATCTCTGTAATTTCTTGTAAGAGCTGATATAAAAGGTGTTTGAATGGAGAATAAATGATTAAAAGTGAATCTCTTTTGAATATAGATATCAATGTTATGGATGGCAGAATAAATTCCTCTAAGAAATACTTTAAAATTTGAAGTTGGTATGGTTAATTCAGCGAAAACTGAAATGTACTGTGTGGTCTTTTAATTGAACTATCTTCCTTATGTGCACTTAAAGAGGTAGACTTGCCAAGTGCATGGAAAGAAATGAAAAGTTGTGCTTGTGTAAAATGACACATTCTAAAGAATTCCCTTGCCTGACATTAAAATAGAGGATTTTTTTTTTAAGTTTCTTAGAGGGAAATTTCAGCTTTCAGGTGTATTAAAAAATTTCTGACTACAGAGGGAAAACACATTCGTTATTGAAAAATTACAAAGCTGTAAGTAAAAAAAAAAAAAAAAAGAAAAAAAATCTAATTATGTCACTAGGATATAAAAGTATAAACATTTTGGTGTATATCCAGAACTTTTTTAATGCTTGTATGATATAGTATATGTGGTTTTAGTATTTTAAACTTAATGTAGCAAAATGTTTTACGTTTCATTAGGTAATACTATGATTTTTTTAAAAAAACTGATAGTTTTTTTTGGATATTAAAGATTTTTTTTTACTACTTGTTATCAAACATCTTGAACATAGAATGTAGATTTTAGTTTTTGATGTATGTTGGGAAGTGAACAAATTTTTTTGTCCTGTATTTGTATTTGTAGACCTCAAAGTAGAATATTCTAGAAATAACAGGATCTTATTAAATATTTATGAAATGAATGTGCTTCTACTTGTGGTATTAAACCTTTATTTCTGACCATTTATATTTCCCTGATGTTTCTTTCTATGACTATATGGTATAATATTGGGATATTGTGACTAAATAGTATAATGAATACATTTATTTGAAAAACGTATTATATTAGGGTATGATATTTGTTAACAGTTCTTCTGCAGTGTTTCTGTAGAAGGAGCTTCTTATAATTCATTACAATTAAAATTATATTGTTTTCATGATTTCTTATTGCCTGCCTTAGTTAAGCTATGTAATTATAATAATGCATTGACTAAGCAGTATTCTGGGATGGAATCTTTATAATGTGGTTCACTGTATTAAAACACATATTTATAAACCATGAAAAACCAGAGATAGTCCCATTAGGGTACTGCGTGCTTGTATAGTTCTGGTATTGCTGCTAATACTTGTCTAGGTATTTTTGAAGGTGGCCAAAACATGCCTGTTAGGCATAACTATAAGATAGCTGTTTTTGTCTTTAATATTTCTAGTGGTCCCTTTCTGTACTCTTTCTCTCCTTCCCTCCTTTAGGCATCTACTTTTATTTAGAAAACTATCTGATAATCAGTCACTTACATATGCTGGCTGTTAAAGGAATCATTTGTCAGTAAACCGATAAGAAAGGAATGTTGGTTCTGGATGCTTGAATCTTTGAATGTAGTAAACTCGAAGCAAACTTGATTTAATCTTGTTTGGATAATAGGCCAGAAAAATTATATTAGGATAACAAGCTAGAGAGAGGTTTGACTTTTTTTCAGTTCCCTGTCCTTTGCTTTCCTGATAAGGATGAATAGGAAGCTGATCTAACACCTGGAAACCTATGTTCTCTGAGTGGTGGGGGAGAGAGGGAAGGAGCAGGCTATATTGTTTTTTTTTAGGCTTTTCTGTGACCTGATGCTTACTTTGTTAAATGTGGCAGCTGCTTAGAATTCTTCCTTTTTCCTTTTCTCCCAATCATAAAGTTGTATTCTCCTTTAGAATTGAAAAGTGCGTATTTCCTTTGACATCTTGGTATTAATTTAGCTGAGTTCTTAGTATGAACATTTTGTGTCACAATTCCCTTGTTCTAGGAAATGCAGTATGTTGCTATGCTTCCTATATTTCTGCCTCAAATTGTCATTAAAATAAGCTTTTATTGGCGCGCCTGGGTGGCTCAGTCGGTTGAGCGACCGACTTCGGCTCAGGTCATGATCTCACGGTTTGTGAGTTCAGGCCCTGCATTAGGCTCTGTGCCGACAGCTCAGAGCCTGGGGCCTGCTTCAGATTCTGTGTCTCCCTGTCTCTCTGCCCCTCCCCCACTCATGCTCTGTCTCTGTCTCAGAAATGAATAAAATAAACATTATTTTTTTTTTTTAAATAAGCTTTTATTGTCAGTAGCTCTTACTGGATTTCATCTTCCTCAGTTGAATTAAGTCCTTTACTCATTCCCTTCATCTCTTCTACATTGGTTATTCTGTGAGGTCAGGATCAGCAATAGAGAACTGACTTCTCAATTATGTCTACTGCTTTTGTAGACATAATGTTACAGATAATAAAAGAACCAAAAAGGTAGTCTCATTTGTATCGTTCCTTCGTTAAATATTTGCTGGAGGCATTGATGTGTTCTGGGAGGTAGTTTTTATTTTTTAGTTTCTTTTG